ACTTTGAAAACAGTTTGACTTAAGCTTTGTTATAATAGACGAAAATTGAAAATTACATATTTCATATTTAATTACCGATGAAATGTGATTCCGATTGTTTTGTAATTAGATGTTTTGCTGTTTTTCCACACCATTGAATGGAACAGCCCCCATTATTGGAGATATTATTTTTATTACAATAAATACAGAACATTTTTTGAATACACAGAGACGTAAACACAGGTCAATTGTTGGCGCTGTTCATTTTTCTAATTTGTGATTTTAGCCTTCTAATTTGTGATTTCAGCGCAATCGAGATATTTAAAAGTGATATCAGTACCATTTGACTGATGAGTTGCCAGGGATGGATGGCTCTTATTTCGTCTCGATTTCTGGTTATATACTCGATAGGTCTAAGTCAATATGTACAAGATTTTAAGACATAATTATGTGATGATTGGATACTTAGAATAATAACGCATAGATAGTGCCTTTTTCAAATTTTTACAAATACTTCCTCATGTTCACTCAATCTCCACGCTTTTAAAAGGACGATTTTTAAGAACCAAATAAGAGAAATAAATTTCGTTTATTTAGATTTAGTAAAAGTTACATATGAATTTGTAAAATATAAAACAAGCCGCTAATGTGAAACGTTTTTGAATAATATTTTTTTTAAGTGCTCAATCAATCCTCACATTTCTGAAAAGTAACAAACGTCAATATCTTTGGATTTGTAAGTATTACAGAGACTATAATTGGTAAAGTTTTATTGTAATTTACTACAAAATATCTGCCATTTCAGATTTTGTTTTTATTGTTTAGTTAAAAAGATATTCGTTTTAATTATATGTATGAAAATCTACAATGCAAGGTCCACACGTTATGAAAATGTCAAAATGAACTTGTAATTTAGGTACTTAATACCTTAACACCTAGGTATTAATATGAAGTATTAATTATTACTCAATAATTAACACTTCATACTAATACTTACGTTATGGTCGTCATAACAACTTCATTATTATTCAAACGAACAAATACGGGCTCAGACTCTATTATTATATTATTTAGGTATTTATTAAATATTGGCTATACTATAGCTACCTGTAACGAATACTTGAGGACTAAACTCGTAACATAAATAATAAAAAGTAATTTGCTTATGAACTGTTACTACAAATACGCGCCAATTTTTTTCACTCATAGTTTTTTATGTTATGTATATTTACATGTACATGTACACGTGTATGTATTAATAATAATAATACCGCCTACGTGACCGAACGGTTACCATGCCGGAATGCCACGCAGTGGTCCCAGGTTCGATTTCCGGGCCGGGAGAAATGTTTGTATGGCTTACATTTATTACTCTCGTGAGTTTGAGTGTATGCGACACAGGGTTTCCCTAGTGCGGGGCTATGTTTCGTTATTATAAAAAAAATAAAAAATTAAATAATAATAATAATAATAATAATGTGTATGTCATTGTGCGTGTAACTTAAAAACCTAGTTTTTTCTTGACTCGAACTTGCACCATTACGAAAATGTAAAGTGTTGCCCTAAATTCGAATCGCTACTCTAAGCTTTTAGATGCTCACTAGTATCAGCACCCGTAATTGAGTGAATTAAAAAAAAAATGTATGTCGTTATTACCTATTGTGCGTTTAGTTTACGGTGCACGGTAATATATGAAAAGGCTGTATGGTAGCACCTTTACTGTGCTAAATAAATAGGTGAAAACTTATGAAAAAAATTTGTGATGCACAAATATACCTTTTTGCCTTTTCCATGACGGGTAACCTTTTTAAACAGAACCTTTTTTTAAATTTGTTACATTGTGATTATTTTATCAATGAAAAACTAGAGTGTAAGTATTTCAAGGCATTTTATTCAATAAAAAAGAATTACAAATAGAAAGAACGTACATAACACTAACACACGATAATGCAAACAGTTTGGAATAAACAATACCACGCGTTAAGATGCATTCCGTAATTGTCAACACACAATTATGTTGATGGATTTACTACATGATGTAAGTGGACAATTTTCTGGTTAGTTTTCTCTACCAGTTTCGGTGGCAATTTTTATTATTGAAATATTTCAGATTTTTTTTTCCAATTTATTATGGCAACTATGGCCCATATAATATATACCTTAGGATTAATATACATATAATGTAATATAAAACTAAATACCTACACGAATTACACTTGTCGAAGAACAACCAACAACAAGAAGCAACCTGGTGTCAGGTAACCGGCCGCGGAATCGCCGATTACGACATCGTTCTGTCAAAACACTCTCTTCATGAAGGTTGACAGATGTTCAGTCATATTACACTCGAATATTACATCGTAGGTCCAGATGAACGGGGTATTATCTCGAAAACACAGATTTTTCAGGAGAGCAATTTTAAAGTTTCTTCTTGCATTATTTCATCCGTTATTTTATTTGATTCTCCTCTAATATATGTATTTAAAACCAACACATTTAACAGTATTTTTGAATACTTGTTATTGTTAGTGAGTTCCGTAGTTTTGACAAAATCCTGAAATTATTCAAGGAGGTCTATAATGTTACCCTTTTGAACATAAAATATTTGTGATTCAAAGTTTTAACTAAATTGTTCATGCTTAATAAAAGAATTAATGAAAATGAAAATAAAAACAAAAATGAAAATTTTATGGAACATAGCAGTATCTCAAAAAATTATACTATACATTACCATTCAACGAAACAAATATCTCAAAAAATGTATTACCTTGAAATAATCGTCTTTGTTTTAGAAATAAATATATTTAAAATACACTTGCCTTATAACGAACGCATGATACGTTTTAGTTTTAACACCCTGTTCAACGAACGACGACGTCTTCCTGTGTAATACTAAATACGACTCTGTTATCTAATCTTTGGGCCGTGCAAAAAGTTCATAGATACTACCCTGCATTCCGCGCCATTTCACGTCCGATCGCTTTAAGACCTTGTTCATTAGAAAGATCTCGGTTTTTTAAATAGGACTGCAATATAAAGTAAAAAGTAAAAATTTTTGAGTTAATACCCTGTTCATCCAAGGCAGGCAACGAAATAATATTTCATGATAACATTTTAGAATATTTAAATAATAAAAATGGCCATCGAATTCAGGTAGAGAAAATTACCTGAAAATTGCCCTAGTATCTCAAAAGAGATCATTGAACTAAAGTTATTTTTAGTATTTGTCTACAAAAGAGTGCAAAGTGCAGTGTGGTATATTCATACTTATTGGTTTTGGTTATTTGCAATTAACACGAAATCTCCCAATCGAACGGCACCAAATTATGGTAATGAACGCCTTTTAGTGCTATATACATTTATATAGATGGAACAGCTGAACAGTGACACCGAAAATAATTTTGAACGAATTTTTTGATACTTTTATTATAGAAGTTTGTTTTTATTATACCAAGTGACGGGAAGAAAAAGTCGTACACCTGGTGGTAAGCGATGGCAGTATTTCCCTAGACGAACTCTTTCACCAAATTATATTGTAGTGGTAATACAGAGTTATGAGGTTTTGAGTGAATAAAATATAATACAATAATATTACGTGTAGAGAAACGTATTTGCAATGTAAATAAAACTTTTAAAAGGATTGCCGGATTTCGACAAATTGATACATTGGTGTGACATTGCACATTTTGAAAATGTGATTAGCTTTCATTTATTTTATTTGATTGTACTGTTACAACAAATATAAAACTGAAAAAAAATCAGCTTTGATAATTCTGCTCGCAACACGGTAACGTCTTAAAAAAATATTGTTCATGACAATTGCTCGTAAGTTATAGTCATAGACCACATATTCCGTGATTATAGTATAACATGTGGTATAACGTAGGGCGGTAATTTTTTTTTAATTTCTACGCTTCCACCGGGCGCCCGATAAGGGTGCGGTAAAACTAACACAAATTACAGTCGACTTTAATTCATTTGTCATTTGTATAAAATACATACTCATAGGTACATACCGTGGCATACAACAAAAGCACAAACTTTTATTGCTTTAAATTATTCTTTATACAAGATTTTTCTGAGACACTTATAATTTCAACTTTTTCACAAGTACGATGAAAGCTATGCCACGCGGCCGGAATAACAATTACAAACGTTCGGTCTATCCCTACATTGCATTATTGTCACAAGGGACAACAATGTATTATTCCTGACCTCGTAGGGTTATACAATTCATGTAAACGAAAGGTAAGTAAGACAAACAACATTTGGGTTTAAATCTGTAAAATAAACTTGTAGTTACAGTTACGGCTATATGCCATAGGCGCAAGAATAAATAACATCAGTCTCTACGTATTCACACACTAATATTATTGACATATAGAAAAAGGTTTTGACGAAATGAACACAAACTACGCCTTATCATTTAATAAGAAATAACCATTCTGAACTTTCCACTACATACCTTTAGCTGAATAACGACATTTTATAAAACCATGTAGCAAAACCACAGATTATACATTAAAAAAAAATAACTTAACTATTTATACAGACAAACATAAGTACTTAACAATTAAAATAATATTACTGATGGCACTATAGATCTTTGGTGTATTCAATTGTAGCTTTTTGTTAAATATTAAGTGATGAGTTTCAAACGTTTACTTCTATCTAGCAATTGCCTTATCATAATAATTATCACTTGTATTTGCATCGTTCGAAAAACTTATCTGCACAGTATTATTTGTTATTAATTCTTGTTTAACATTGCTGTCATTAAAACAAGCAACGTACTTCTACGGCTACAAAAAATTAGGACTTTTTTTTCTTATAAAAATTTCATCCGTTGATTCAACATTATTTAATCTTTTTTATGGGCATACATTTTTATATGAATTTCTAAAAGAGGTGGATGTTTTTTTTTCATTTAATGATTTTCTATGAATAACCATAAAGTTAAGTAACGTAAACATTAGTTATTAAATAAAATATAAATTGTTTTTTTATTGATTTCGGGCGGGATTTTTTTAGGTTAGTAATTTTTGAGAAATCTGAAATCTATTGTAAATATTTTTATTTTATTTTAATACATATAGACGAAGTTAAGTACTGATCTGTAGACTGTAAATTTATGATATTTTTATTGGATAATGACTTACAATTGGTTACTAAATAACATTTTGGGTAGATATACAAACAAACTTAGATACAGTATAATAAGTGAAAAATAGAGATATTTGTATGTTTTTCTGTGCAAGTAAAAGAGAGAATGAACTTGCTGTCTCTCGTGCTTAAAATTGTATTGCGGTGAATTAGGAATTCTCGCACAGGTGACTAATCTGAAATTACCTTGGGTGAAATAAAACCACGATTATCTAGCATCTTCGTCTATTTATATTTCGATTTGCTTAATATGTAATCAATCTTTTTTGTTTTTGTCGGGAACAACCTTACGTAATGAAAATTTTTGCCATCTCTCAGTGGCTTTATATGGGGTGCAGGGTGTACGGTGCGCACGGGCTCAGGGGCTTAGCTATTACTTCTCAACATCATTTACAATTGCGCCGATTGCACCCGAATTTCCGATTACAGGGGAAGATATAACTACGTGCCTATCAAAAGAGGGCAGGGTATCGATTGCACCTGGGCGCTACGTGTTGCTGTCCCTTATCATCTTCAAAACCTTATTTGCAGTATTCTTCGTTTATTGTTTCTGACATCATATTAAAGATATATACGAAGTATAAGCTGTAAGATATTCCGACCTTATTTTGGTCCCAACTATGCTATCTTTTCTAAAAACGATTCTACGAATATTTTAAATTCAAGCGTTGACTTAATTATTACCTCCATTAATTTTAACAATTTCATCAATGTAGGTAAAAATTAAGCTATAAACAGTGCAAATGTAATTATAATAAGTAAACAAATGCCAGTTACGGAACTAAACCTTAATAACTTGTGACTAGAATCATATTCATCGAAAATATGGTAACGAGCATACAATAACAAAGTGTAATTATAAGTAAATTTGCAATAACATTATGAAACGAGATATTTTTTACAATTCTTCATTAAACTTAATCTGAGGCAAGTACACAAAATCTAAATACGTCTACTTAATCGAAATTGCGATGCATAAAAAATTTGCCAATAAACGTATCTTTCGGCGCTTATAAGATTAACAAGACATTGATAACCATAAAAATGTTACTTACTATACAGTGCAATTACATATCAGAACTGAATTATTACAATTTTGTAAACAATCATTCAAAAAGCTTTCCATCAACGTTTACATAAAAATATTGATAATAAGATAAAACTGTGGGCTACGGAAATCAGTTAGTAAGTATCGGAAATTATTAACAAATGTATGTATTGTAAAATCATGTATTCAGTCGTGGGTACGAAAACTCCATAGAGCTCATGCGTCACGGATTTATAACGATTGCGTGTCTTCGAACTGTTTTCTTGACATAGATGGAAAAGCCCCGACTAAATGTGCCATCAACTATGAACTGTTGGCATCTATTTGGAAGACTTTAAGATTTTTACAGCTATTGGTCGATTGAGCACTATTCAGTAAAGTAAGAAGATCTCGCAGTGGCTTAGAAGAAAGACCGACGGGTCATCGGCCTATAATTGTTGGCTCGTCAGCCATGGCCAGTTCGTCTGTAGCTGCCTTGTCCCCCTTTCTCTTACGGGAATACCATAAGAACGATGCAGCAGCGAACAAATTAGTAAGAACTACGAACCAGGCGAAGACAAAGCTGACGTGATAGCTGAAAAGAATTATACTAACAGTTATAAATGCAATAATGACATGATTCAATAATAAAAACGAGAATGTCGCTCGAGTAAATTTTTCGGAGCTAGAGCAAACTAAAGTTTATAATTTAGCTCTGGCGCCGAAATATTTAAATATAATTGAGGGTATTCTTTTCTGGAGAAACAAACAAAGAAAATAATGGTGTATCAGACAAATCGGATTGTTTTATAAACGAATCGTATGCAGTGTGCATATACTCACTAATGACTGGCTTGCGGCGGATATACTGCTTTGACATTTTTATGTAAGTAGTCCACTGTAGACATCATCACTTGTACCACTACAAATGTGCAGGAGGCTAAAACGTAGAAAAAAAACACTGCAAACATTACGACCGCTTTCATATTTTTTAAAACCCTAATAGCGGTTATACCCTGCTCCTACATACTGACGATTGTCTTATTCGATAGTTAAAAAAATTACCGACACCTTTGGTATTACGTTATTTATTACCTTAGAACCTACAGATATGGTACAAACTGTATTTTCTTCAAAGGTTTGTATAAAATTTTCATAAATACAAAAAGGGTAACGACTGTTAAAAAAAGAATGGGGAATATAAATATAAGATCTCACAAATATAATAATACTCACTGGTAATGAAATGAATTCCCGCTGCCAACCGTTTGAACATGTATCGAGGGTTCATGAAGGTATACACGGAGAATCCGCAACCCATGGCCATTACGAACAAACCAATGATGCCGAACGAGACCATTGTGCGGACAAAATCTGTGAACAAGAGATTACTTGATTATGTCGAAGTGCAAAAAGCTTTTGCCGAGATGTAACCTGTAATTTTACAACATAAAAGAATATCGGGAAAAAGTTTTTTTCCCGATATTCCCGATTTTTTTCCCGAAAACTACATTTTACCTGACTTAAGCCCTAACCCCAGGTCTGTATGATCTGCGCGTGTGCAAGCCTTTGAATCAACTTTCCAATCAGGTAGGTCGCTGCAGAGATAAAATGTGTAAATGAGGTTTCAGGGATGTTAGTCTAACCTGATGCGAGAACGGTACTCCAACATAGACAATGGAGCACTTGGGAGCACGTAACTGTTGTGTTTATATTTCAAATTAAAATAATTTAATACCTAATTGCTGATAACGTTTAATGTTAGAAGTAAAACGGAGTAATTTTTAAATATACTTGTTAAATAATTTTTTTTAAAACACAAAGCTAATTCATAATTACGTGGTCAATTCACAAGTAAAATATTTGACGATGAAATGGACAAAAAATTAAACAAATAGAGCTACAAAATAGAATTTACGTTATAAAAAATAAACAGCATCATCTTTTCGCAAAGTTTGTAATTGCTTAAAAGCTTTCAATTGTTTCGTATTGCATAATATGAATAAGAGACGTAAAAACTTTGTTTAAAGGGTTTGTTCAAACAGAGCATTATTAGATGTGAGCATTGTACTAAGCCGAGCATTCCTTCGAGGCATACCTAAAGTGTCAAAAACACAAAATACGCAACACGACATACATTTGTTTTATTGGAATGAATCATTTGCTTGTTATTTCTCACAGTCTACGCGGCTGCATATTTGAGCTCGTTGCCAGCTTTGTTGCTCGGTTCAACATACCTACCTCTCGAATGTTCATAGTTGAATACTCTTTACAAACTAATTGTCCTGGTGGTGACGAGCCATTAAACAGACCATCTTATGTGCTCCAGATTCATTGAAAAGGGTAATTACCTTCGCCCCACCCCTAATGATCACGCAATTAAAATTTCACCATGCGTGTTTTCAGTCATTAACTCTGTTATTTAAGAGATCGACTCTGCTCAGTGATTATGTTTTCAACGATCAACTTTGTTGTATAATTAACAAGTTGTTCTCTTCTTGTGTCGTATTGAATAATCTATTATATATTCGTAAATAAATAGTCTGCATATTACACACATTAAATACTTGTAATTTTAGGTTCTGAGATTTCCGCGATTGAGACACGTTGAAAATGAACTATTTTTTCAGATCTAAATTGCGTGTATTTGTTTTTTCATACAAACCAACGATTCGGGCACTTTGCAAGTCTCATCATGATGACGACTGACTGACTCTCTGAATGTAAAGGTCTCGAAACGTTGAAATGTTTGAAAAAGTAAGAATAGGCGATTGAGATTCGAAAAATAGTCTCTTCTGATAAATTTGTTAAAAGCAACTTTTTTTATGATACGAAGTGGCGGTACGAACAAGTCGTGCGCCTGGTGGTAAGTGACACCCCTATCCATAACAGTTGCAGTGCCACTAAGAGTTTTAAATCGCAATATTTGATCACTGCCACTGCGCCCGTCACCCTGCAACATAAGATGACAAGTCCCATGTGCCTGTAATTTCACCAGCACCCTTACCCTTCAAAACCAGAACATAGCAATGTACACATTTCCGCTTGCCGGCAGAAATAGGTAAAGTGGCAGTACTTCCCTAGACAAACTGTTTCACATGGAGCTCTTCTTCTAGTACAACTGTTGTTGATGGAAGGAGTCAAATGTGTAGAGGTTTGCTCTGCTAGCCGGTATTTTCTTACTACATGCAGGAATCAAACGACAAATTTGATAAAGTACATATTAAATGTGAAACAGACAATTTCTGTGACCCGCCCAGTAGAATGTAAGCGCGTCGTAAAGTCCACGTCAAGTCCCAATGGCTAAAATTTTACAAAATAAACTCGCTTCAGATTACAACCTGTTCAAATGATGGGTCCTGGTTCAAAGTATTTCCTACGTACGAGAATTACACTACTTGAATTCTCTTAATACACAATTCCTATATGTAGTGATTAAGTTTTAGAAAAATCTTAAAGCTGCGGTTCGGAAATGACGTATGAAAGTACTTGAAAGAGTAAATTGCAATGGACACAAATGTCAGTGATATCTAGCGACAAACTTCGAAACTGCTTTAAATAGTGTTGTAAGAATTTCTACAACAGAGTTGTTGTGTTACACACATATACAATACTCATAGAAGCAAATATTCTGAGAAGTTTTGTACTCGCGAGGTGGGTATCATAAATTCATAACGCTTTGCTTAATACAATGATATTCTTTATTATGTGAATTTTTTACGTGAGTACTTCGCATTCATCTACGAAATGAACGTTGACAGCATAAAATTATCTGTGTATTAACCCCAAATACATCAAAGGGATGCGAAACAACGGCGATATGACTGAATTATTAACTTCAACATACTCAGTGCGATGATTTTATCTGTAAATTATCACAAGAACGTCTTGACACGAGTTTTTTATAATTTTTTTTTATAATATCAAGTGACGGGACGAACAATTCGTGCGCCTGGTGGTAAGCGAGAAACCAGCCTGCAAGAGTTTTAAAATCCCGCTTTTACCTTGAGTTGACAAGGCCCATGCGCCTGTTACTTCACCAGCACCCTTACCTTTCAAAACCGGAATGCAGGTAATGGTCACATTACGGCTTCGCGGCACAAATAAGTAAAGTGGCAGTACTTCCTTGGACGAACTCTTTCATAAGGAGCTCTAATGCTGCTAAAAGTTGTTATTATAATTATCCCGTGGATACTTTTGGCTAAATATTCTTATATCTGTACATATGATAATACATGTGGAGAAGAAGAGCGTAAGAAGCGCGCAGTAATATGGACCTCTAATACCAAGCAATACGCCAGTCCATCATTCGAAAGATGTACTACACATTGCCACTGCGTCTGTCACCCAGATATATACGTTGACAAATACCATGTGCCTGTAATTTCACCAGTACCCTTACCCTTCAAAACAGGAACGCAGTAATGCATTTTAATCACGTTTTCGCCAAACAATTAGTAATTTTACACAGCAAAAAAAATATTTCTAGGGATATATACAAAAAAAACGGCAACTCTTAACTAAAATTATACGGTATGTTTTTAAACTCATAAAAACCGATAATCAATGGTTTGTTTCTGCGAAAACATGCTTTAATTTATTACTAAAATAAGGTACGTGGGTGGAAAAGGAAATTAAAATAATATATATTATAATATTTTGTAATATACTGAAATACAGCGCGGGACATTGGAACTTACTAGAGAGAACCGTTAATTTTCTAGACATAGCGTCACACCAAATGACACTTACGACATTTATTTGTAAAACGGTATGGCGACGGATCATCCGGTCTCCAATACACGACTCATTGAGCAGGCAATAGAGCATTCCGGGTTTTACATTATTTATGAAGAGCGTCGGGGAAAAGTCATGTATCCAAACTGACAGGTCGGATTTTTTTTACTAATTCCGAACTTAAATAATTTTTAGAACAACATCTTAAATTTTACTTTTTTAGAACTAAATCTCGTTCGTTCGGAAGTTCGAAAAGTAGGTTGTTTAAAGAAACAAACCAAAATTTTTGTAACATTAGTAGTAATTTGTCCAGTGAAGTGCCGCCATCTTACCTATTTCAGATGCCAAGCATTACGATACCTCCAATGAATAACTACGTCAACTTAATTTTTGGACTTGTTCTGTTTTTATTTTGTTTTGTTTCTTTATTTTGTTTTATTGTTTTATTTTTCGGATTCTGTTTCTTTAGTTCAGTTCTTTGGAGGTATTTGCGTCTCGGTTTTTAAGGTGCTTATGAAATTACAGGTACATGGGACTTATCAAGTTATGTCTCAAGGTGATGGGCGCAGTGGCAGTGCTCCTCAGGTGTTTGCGTTTTACAGATCTAAGTGGCACTGCCATCACTAAGGACAGGCGTGTGCATAGCGATTGCAATGACGAAAGCCTTGTTTGTCTAGTGAACAGAAAGAAACAAAGAAACGAGATTTAGATCCAGAGTTACATTTCTTATGTGTTGCAATCGCGAAAACCTAAAGCTGGGTACACATTAGCGGGCTGTAACTGTAATGCGACAGATCTAGTATGTACGCGTGAAACAGCCGTCACTCGTTAGAATGAGTATCTGGTTATCGTCGGCTCACTGTCGTCACACACTATGATTTTTGGTAACATACCATGTAACGGTTACGGTTACAGCTCGCTAGTGCATACCTGGTTTAAAAAGGAGGTTTTTTTTTGTATGTATTTTACTCGATATCTCCGGCACTTGTGAACCGATTCTTTTGATTCTTTTTTTGTTGGAAAGAGGGCATAGCTCAGTAGTAGTACCATTCAATTTCAAAAAAATATTCCACCGCTGACTTTTGAGGTCGGTTTTTTAGTACTCTGTACTGATTACAACCTGTTGTCTTCTTCTTTGTGATGAATCCGGGCTTTTAGAATAATGCGCTTGGTAGAAAGAGACAAACATATTGTTTGCGTTGCGTTTCTATATTTCACTATCCGTCTTTTACGTTTATGCCTGCTTGATTTTGAAGCAGATACCTCTTTTTACCAAACCACAATACGCGCTGTTTGACTTTACAATGATTGCATGGAAATTGTTGAACTTAGGCAGAAACTACCTCAAATCAATAGGAGGATCCAATTGAGCTGGAGAGCACTCGAGAAGTACGTCGTATAATTTCGTCAGCAATACGAAGTTTAGTTAAGTTAGATTTTATAACCGGAGTATCCTGCGTTTTGGAGGTTAATTGTAACTTAAGAGTTAAATTCGACTATACTGCTTCCGTGGCCGAACGGTTACCATGCCGGACTGCCACGCAGAGGTCCTACGTTCGATTCCCAGGCCGGGAGAAATATGTGTATGGCGTACATTTATTTATCTCGTGAGTTTGGGTGTAATTTGTGGTCGTCTATGTGTGTGTCCAAGCAACACAGTTTCCCTGTTGCGGGGACATGTTGAGTGTGTGCGTTATTATTATTATTATTGGGGAAAGCAGTGTACTGCTTCCCCTCCGAATGGGTTCCCGTCTTGTCGTGGGGGGAGCTCTATTAGCCGTGGTCGATTTCATCATACGGTGAAGGTAAGAGGAATCCACGGGCCGGCCGATGGAGCTAAGCTGGCCCGATGAGGAGGGCGTACCGCGCGGACTCGTCTTGGTCTAGGGCGAGCGTGTCCGCGCGGACACATGCGTGGAGGAGGGTCGCGGGGGAAGAGACTTGTCGGTGTGTAGTTGTCGCTCGTCCTATACTCCGCGAACTTGGCGGGGCTGCACCGCTTAACACTCGTCCTATCCTCTCTAAGGAACTCTCTTTGGAGAATGCACACGGGTCCGTGTAGGGTGTCGCGGCGGAGCCTACCAATAGATCCGCCGCGGGGGCTGGGAGAGCATCCTTTGAACTTTACAGTTGAGGAGAAGTTGTCCCCGTGGCCTCTGGGTAGCGGATACGGGGGAGTTCCTTGCCCAGAATGGAAGGCTCCTCTGGTGTTCGGTGAGCCCTACATTTGAAGTCGGGTGACCGTAGTATTTGCTCCCCTTCAGGGTTCAGCCCAGTCCCACGTAACCCCGACTCTGCCCCCTAGGGCCCCATAGGGCCGGGGTATCTATAAGCAAATTCTCTTGGGTAAAAGAAAGACTATACTGCTTAGTTCACTATGATAAAAACCAGATACCTCTTTTCTACACTAAACACAGGTCTTGTTGTGTTCTTCGCATAGTATAAACTAACACAATTTTTCACACTGTGCAACAGATGCAGTGGATTGTAAAGTTTTGGGATTCATTCTGTAAACAAAACGCTTCATATGCGGTAGAACTTCAAAACCGAAAAAATCCTTTACTATCTCGTACGTTTTAGGTTTCAGATATGCGTACCAGGGTATTGAAATCAAACTTTTAATAATGATTTACTTAAGATAATTATATAAATGTTATACTTACTAGGAACTTCCTTGAAGGCTGGATCATTGTTCAATTTATCGGACTCGGCAGACAAGTAGTTTGTGCATACTGTAACAAAAAATAACATACCAAATTAGCTTCCTCAATATAATTTTAAGGTTAAATATCTGGTAAATTAAATGACACCGTTCCACTCTTGAGTAACTGTCGTTATTGAAATGTGGCAAATTTTTAGGGTAAAATACGTATTTTAGACTCTTGATGGCTGAGTAAAGGTCACCTAAAATTGTCGCTGCGATACATTATAACGAGCAATGTAACTTAAACTTAGTATTTAGAAAATAAGGTTGCATTTATTTATACACGTATATTGTGATTGTACATAAAATTTAAAAATATATATTTGCAGATAGCAGCGGCGAGCGGCGTCGCTTTACAATATGCAACATAATGTAGAACATATCATATACGTAATAAAGTATATATATTACTTTGAAAGCAAAATAACGAAAGAGTTAAAGCCCGGTTCAATTAAAAAGAAAAAGAATGAAAGTTCGGTGCATTCTGTCGTATAAGGATAGGAACAATATGTCTGCACTCGTTTCTCAGGTTTAGATACTAATCTATACTAATTATAATAAGAACAATCCAAAGCGTATTAAGCTCTTCACTGTACGTAAACATATCTCTTGTTAATAATAATAATGTCGTACAGTTTTTGACGTCGTGTTTCTTGATACTTTTTATTTACATATGTAGCGGACTGTATCGGTGGGTTCGGGTGGGTGCTAACAAAAAGTGTGAGCAAGTGTTATATCACTTTTAAATATCAACTCTTGTTTGCGCTGAAATCACATATTAGAAAACTGAAATAGTACAACGCCAACCCCCGCATATTCCAAAAATATTCTGTATTTATTGTTATATAGATAATGTCTCTAACAATGGGGGCTGTTCCATTAGATGTATTTATTGTTATATAGATTATGTCTCTAACATTAGCCCCCATTGGGCTGTTCCATTCGATGGTGTGAGAAAAACAGCAAAACAATTAATTGCAAAATAAACGGAATCACATTTCATCAGTAATTAAATATGTATTTTAATTTTTTATTGAATTGATATTCAATTATTTTTTGTAAAATTACTCCACTAGTTTGTTATAATTATTAATACAAAAATCGAAGACTCAGAAAGAATTCCTTCGATCCGGCCGGATTCGTACCGACGTCTTCTAGCATACCGTGGCAGATGCTATACCAACTAAGCCACGGAACGAACCAGCGGACCTCACGAATTTTTCTATGTGCTTGCGTCGTGTCTTTGTATTTGGTTTTTCAACGACTTTTTAGCCGTAGCGCCATCTATGAGAAATCTATGAAAGATTATACAAATACAAGTACAACTACAATAAATGTACTTACACTATAGAAAACAACGCACAGCTACTGACAAACAGAAACAATACTCAATAATAAGAAAAGGCGCCAAAAACAATCATAATTAAATTTAGAATATACATATAAAACTAAACATAAAAATACTATAATATATAGGTATGTAAAAAATAATTTGTAGCAACTGCTGCGATTCACTACAATATATTTTTCAACTAACTACACAACACTACTCTACCTCTCTAAATCTAATATTCAATAAGATATTAAACCTTCAACACTTATAGCAGTAAAAGCTTTACATCAATTTTCTTTATAAGAGGGTATTCAATAACTACATCGTTTACCAGATAAGCACGGATGTTAGCGGATTATCGCGCCACATGTGTTTGAAACTGCATAGAAAGTAAAGCTCAGTTTCAAAAGGTGTAATGGTGATTATTATGTACGATAGTCGTTAAACGGGTGTTTTGGAAAGGTACACGTTGCATGTTATGGCATGTTCTGTGCAAATTTTATTATGGAGAGATAATTTTAATACCCGTTGCTGGGTATGGGACTTTTATATGGACTGAGTTTGTGAGTCTGGAGACGCTAAATGTAGTAGTACTATTAACTATGAAATGACTTATAAATTAAGGTACTCTTACAGCATTACGATACTTCCAATGAACACTACGCCAACTTTATTTTCTGATATTTTTGTGAATAGCCATATTTATTTACTAATATTATGCTCCCCGAATTTTGTGAAAACAAAGAAAGAAACAAAAAACAAAATTTGCAAAAAAAAAAAAAAAAATGTAATTTAAAAAAAAAGAAAATAAAAACCAGACCGTTCCAAAAATTTACTTAGCGTAAAGATCATTGGACACGTCGATTTGTTGTGCTTAATAATAGGCCGCAATGATCCAACGTTTAGAATTCTGGGTGTTAGATGCTTGGGTCATGCTCCTGGAGATTTTTTGTTACTTGGTATTTACAATTCAGATAATTCTTTAGTTTAAAACTACATAATGATTTATATTTTTTTTGTGATAACAAGGGATGGGACAAACCAATCGTACCACACGTTATGTGACACGCCTGTCGATAACAGTTGCAGTGCCGCTCAGAGCTTTAAATCGTAAAGATCTGAGGGGCACTACCACTGTGCCGGTCACCCTAAGATATAAGTTGAAAAGTCTCATGCGCCTGTAATTTCATCAAATCATCTATTATGCATAAAGATCTTAATGGAAGGACTAAGCTTCTCAATATATGAAAAATTACACATTTGAAAGAGTTTGGGCCTCCTCTCCGTTAGATATTACGATAGTCACATTTAAGTTTTGTGTTAGTTCAAAAAAAATCCGAATACTGAACTTTGGAGTTAGATAAGCACGTAGAGGCCATTTGTAATCCCGTACCCATATGTTCCGCCATTAATCTAGTCAATGGCCTCGATTCGCGTGAATGCATCCTAAATTCTGTGTATCTGTCCTTTAGTAAAAAAGGACAAGGGATTTAAATTTAGTTTAGGACAACTGCTCATAAATTTAGTGGTGATACAAATACACGTCGTCAAGTTTATCCAGCAATGTTGAAAGCTCTAAACCAATGATTTCCAAAGTGTTATATATCGACTGCGAGAGGGGCTACACTCCAGCGTAAATTGGGTCCATAGCAGTGAAAAAAAATTGGAAGTCTGTGAGACGTTAATGTAGGTCCATGATAGTAGGATCCATTTAGGAAGGTCGTGATCAAAATTTGGGGTTAACATTATGGAATAATCTACATGACACAGTTAGTATATCTATGTAATGTAAAAACAAAATACTTTCTTCTAATTTCATATAAATTAGCGATGAAATAAACATTTTACGACAAACATGATACATATGAATAGATACAAGTTATACATTGACTTACAATTTATTTGTAAGTCAATGAAGTTATATATATAAATGTATAAAACTTGACATGTGTTTTTTTATAAAGTTTCTTTTATACAGTTAAACTTATGAAAGTGAGTAACACTGTGTCAGCTGTCAAAAACGAATTTGAAGTTGAAGAATTTCTAAAAAAGTACTTAAAAGAAAAGCAAGTGATCTACACAAAAATAGAAAACAAATGGCACGTGGTCTACAAGAAAAGAAAGTTTGGGAAACTCCGCTCTTAAGTAAAACGATATACGAGTAGTCAGTACATTTATTTCTGGTAACGTAAAGATATGTCCTGAAGTAACTTAAATTAGTTTAAGTTTACTCGAACAGGCACCTATAAATATAAATATGTCTTAATGACTATTTGGAGACTTTCCTATCGGGCTATATAAGGCTCAATTTATATTGCGATAGACCGGAATAGAAGCGAATTTTTGTAACGTAATTGCACATAGCATAATGAACTGTATAGTTGATTGCGTAACGTACAAACTAGATACGAGTCAAAATCTTCTGCGGAATTCTCGCGCATGCTCGAGAATGCTCGCGCATTTCGCGGAAGATTTTGGCTCGTATCTACTTTGTACGTTACACAAACGACCAAAAGTTCATTATGCTATGTACAATATCGTTACAAAAATTCGCTTCCATTCCGTTCCGACGCAATATAAATTGGGCCTAAGACGTGCTGTTCCTCTTGGCTATTTATATTTTCATCTTGAATTTTAAACTTATTTGTTAGAATCGATTGAGGTCAGAGAAAATATTAAGTTACCGAGGTTAGAAACAGGCAATGAAAGGGGTTTTTATAGGTGGTTCTTTTTCGTGTTGTGTAATTACTGGTGGCTGCCTAGTTAAGGCTGCTGAGTCTCGCATAAACGAAATGGTGACAACTACAAAAATGCTGCTTAAAAAATGTATTTCTTACGGAAATGACTAATTAGCAGGTATATTTCCATTATTATTTAATTTTTAATGGTTGAAAACAGTATATAGTTGAAAGTTGCAATGCTCACACTGATTTTTAACTGGTTTTTTAAATAGGAGGCAAACGAGCCGACGAACCACTTAAAGGGAGGTGGTTATCGTCGCCCATGGACATCCGCAATATCAGAAGAGCTGCCTATGCATTGCCAGCCTTTGAGAGCCCTGTTGACTCGATTTTTGATTAACCCCATATCATAGCGCAAAGAAAATACTTCTGGAGGGATTTATTCCACATCTTGCAGGTTCGAAGAAGGAACGAAAGTGATGACCGCGTGGTCTCACAATGCCAGCCACCAAAAATGTGGGAATGGGCTCTACTCCATTGGAGGGAGGTGCAATGGTGGAAACATAACGGTGGTACTAGTTCCAAAATTTATTCTGAGCACTCACCCGTTATATAAACGTTAGAACGCTTTTAATAGAAATATCTCGATGCTGGAGTGCTTTTGTATTTTTTATGTGGTGCATAAAACGAATGAGAGAAAGGGATCAGACATACAGACAGGCGATCTGAAGGGCTAGCACGACAGGACGCGACTAGCGCGAGAGCGACATAAGGCGCGAGATACTGCTGAGTCTCGCATAGAGATCTCGCGCTTTTTGTCGCTCTCGCGGAAGTCCTTAGCAGCAGCGCTGTAGCATTAGAGTTCCTTGTGAATGGGTTCTTCTTGAGAGGTACTGCCATCTTACCTATTTCTGCAGCAAAACAGTAATGCGAGCATTAATGCGTAAAAAGGGTGAAATTACAGGCACAAGGGACTTGTCCAATTATGTCTCAGGTTGACGGGCGCAGTAGCAGTGCCTTTAGGTATTTACGATTTAAAGCTTGAGTGACAGTGCAAGGATTAAAGACAAGAGTCACTTACCACCAGGCGCATGACTTGTTCGTGCCGTTACTAGATATCATAAAAAAACCTTATTTGATTACATTATTCTAAAAATGAGTGTTTATAGGCCGTGGGTCTCGTTATCGTAATGACCTCGTTAATCACGCTTCTCATTTTTTATTTACGCCCTTGATCAACGAATTTTATTATCTTTATCAATTTTCCAATATCCGGTGTTAAATTGAGTAAAGTGTGCTGCGATGGTAAAATATTTAGCACGGTAGTAAGTACCTACCTTGAACTGTAAGTAGGGAAATTGCGTGCATTTATAAATCTATAACTAAGCAAGTTATATATTAGCTAAGAATAAATCAGAATAGATTATTTTATTTCATATTAATTATGCACCTATCATCACATCATTCGATGACGAATGAAATGATGAATTTCTTATTAATTTCTTCTCAAAAATAGCAATTTATTATTGATATCCTCAAGGAAACATAAAATTGTGATGGAAGGTACAAATCAACAGCAAATATTGTAAGTACGTTATTGATATATCGGAACGTAGCCCTCTAGATTTAAGGTAATGATTACGTTATTTGTTTGTTGGCACGTTCAATAATAGAATATAGGTGTGTACCTAGGCGTAAAACATGTACTTGACTTTTTAATAATAATTGCTTTAGGGACACGTAAAATTAAAATTGCAATCCTGACACGCTTCCTCCGTACACTTCAATCATATGTTCAAAATGGTGGACAAAACTCGTGAGTATACTTTTAAGTTTTCAATTATCAACTATTTTCTTGGAACCATTAGACGTAGGTTGGGATTCCACTCCTATATTGTAGATATTCCAAAGATTCGCACGAAGTGGTTCGTTCTTACTTTTATATGGCGAATGGCTATGGAGCGGAATTCCCTGCCTGCAGACTTGTTCCCAGAACGGTATAATAAGGTCTTTTGCAAGGCAAGAGTGAATGGGCATTATTTAGACGTGGATGCTCTTTTTTATGATACTAAGTGATAGGACGAACAAGTCGTGCGCCTGGTGGTAAGCGACACGCTTGTCCATTACAGTTGCAGTGCCACTGAGAGCTATAAATCTCATTGGTCTGAGAGGTACTGCCACTGCGCCGGTCAACCTGAGACATAAGTTGAAAAGTCCCATGTGCCTGTAATTTCACCAGCATCCCTACTCGTCAAAACCGCTTGGCGGCAGAAACAGGTAACTGTATTTCCCTGGACGAACTCTTTCACAAGGAGCTCTACTCCTACCAAACGCTCCATAGTCGACTCCATCATCACTTTCCATCAGGGGATATGGAGATCAAATGTGTACTTATTTTTTTTTTAAATAGTAAAAAAGATATACAGTCTAAGGATATACGTAGGTGGTAGACTATTTTTAATCCAGAACCATAAATGAGTGATATAAGTTTGGCGTAGTTGTCTGTCTGTCTTCTTGAGCGTGTGTATTTGTCTGTGGCATCATAGCTCCCGAATGCATAAACCAACTGCGGTTTTTTGTTTGTATAAAAGCTGTGGTGTTCGAGATGGCTAGTAGCTATGTTCGCTGGTTAACATAGCAAACATTCTCAGAATCTGTAGTTAAATTTGTGAAAGGATATCATGTAACAAGGGTGAGCTAAAACTGAGCGTTTAAATAAAATTTGTGACTTGTTGTATTTTTCCTGTACAATAAACTATTAAATAAAAAATAAAAAAATAAATAAATAAAATGTTAAATATATTATATAACTTTGTGACAAATCAAAGCAGTTCTTGACGAAATCCCTTTTTTACTCTTCAACCATTGACTTATTGTAAGTCAATGTCTTCAACAGTAATAGTCGGCAATTAAAACTTAAAATATAATTTGACCGTCTTTTAGGCTAAAAAATAAAGGTATAATCATAGGTTGTCAAATAATTGTTTCTAGTAATTTTGGTTTTTGTGCTTACTCAAAACTTCACATCTGTTGACGAATTTATCCAACGATTCATTAATTTAGTATTCAAAGAAATTATTTTTCACTTTTTAAAGGTCCGTTATTGGACCGTTCGCAATAGAAGCGGCAGAGTTTTTTTTTCCCACGCACACACTCACCGCCTCGCACTAGGGAAACCTACAGTAGCAGTAGAGCTCGTTGTGAAAGAGTTCGTCTTGGGCAGTACTGTCACCTTACTTATTTCTACTGCCGAGCAGTCATGTGAGCATTACTGTTAGTTTTAAGGCTAAGGGTACAAAATGGGGAAAAATTTCACAACACATGAAACTTGTTAACTTATGCCTCAGGGTGACGGGCGCAGTGCATTTCCAATCAGATCTTTGCGATCCTACGTTTACACCAGGCGTACGACTTGTTCGTCCCGTTACTTGATGTCATAAAAAAGACTTGTAAAGTACACAATACCATAAAAAGTGTACACCATAGCTATACTCGATATATTTATAGAATAATAAGCGCACATTTTCACAACCGCGATAAATATTTCAGCTGTCATCTGTGAGAAAAAAGAGTTTTATGTTTTGGACGTGCGGCCAAACATTTAGACTTCTCTTATTTATGCGGTTTTGTTTATCTAACATTTTTCATTTTACGACGTTGATTAAAACAGTTTGTCGAAGGTTTACGACGGCGTTCAGGACAAATTTAAAGATTGACGACTGTATTTTTTGTTTATTAATGAAATTTCATACTAGGCGATATATCACTATTGGCGGTATATTCCCGCGTATTTAATTATTATTAGGTAATGGTTATAAAATATTTTTCAATGGAGTAGGTATATGTTTAGTCGATATTTTGTTCTTTTTTAATGGCAATCTCGATATAGCGATTGTGGTATCACAGATATCTCGGAGCATGTTCGTTAAAGGGTGATGTGCCACGACCTACGATACCTCGCCATTTCTTTTTGTTAGTGGATTTCCTCGTGCACTCTTAGTTTCTGCCCTTCACGACAAGAAACCATTACCTATATTAAAATACATCAAATAAATCAAAATACTACATAACCAAACAAGTGTACAAAATTTTTGCGGCACTAAGTACTTGTTGGCTCAGACATAAAAAACCTACCTCAAAATTTCGTGGAATTACATCCATTTGCCAAGTTTTGAAATCGGTTACTAGAAAGTGCGCGAAACCGTATTCATCCCCTAGCTTGCCAACGTTAGATTAGGAATATTTTCTTAAAATTGAAATCGAACCAAGACTGAGGTACTCTCTTTCCAACAAAAAAAAGAATCATCTGCTCGGCGACAAAAATAGGTAAGATTTTCTCCGTAATTAAAAATATTTGAACAAAACGTTTAAAATTAAAATGTTGCATGCTTTGAAGCAACTGATCTCCTATTTCCAATTAGGAAATTAATCGTGGCGTTTTAGCGCTTGTACAGGCTCATCGGCGTGACAGCCACAAGGCGTACGGAAAACCTAATTGTTTGTGCGATTGCGCGTCTCTTCATCCAGCGTTACAAGTGTCTCGGGCTGCGTCCCAGTTTGCAACCGCGACAATGTTGACACAATCTTCAAGGCGACTACTTCAAACCCCTGCGCATAAAACGAAAATCAAGTTCTGCGCCTCCTTTTGTCACTTGTCTTGCGAACTTGTTCCAAGATCTAAGCCCAAGATGCTGATTTTTTCTTAATCTTATTTCTTATTTTGTAGTGTAATTATTCGTGTTTAAAAGTGATCTGAGTATTTTGTTTATGACAAGTTAAGTGTTTTGTTTTTAATAATCTTTATGTGTTTTTTTAGCCGTTACGAAATGTTAGATTTTAAATAAGTCCGAGAGACACACGCAAAATAGGCGCTTTGTCGTCGAGTTGCGGATACCAGCCCGTTGCACCAAGTACCAAGTAAGTCCGAGAGACACCATGGGAGACCACAGAGTGCGCGATTTGCTTCGGCAATTTCCGAAAGGCCTGCACATCAATCAAGGTAAAGTGCACACCGTCTCATTTACCCTAGTATTATATATTATAAACTGCCTCTGTGGCCGAACGGTTACCATGCCGGACTGCCACGCAGAGGTCCTAGGTTCGATTACCGGCCCGGGAGAAATATTTGTATGGCCTACATTTATTTCTCTCGTGAGTTTGGGTGTAATTAGTGGTTGTCTATGTGTGTCCATGGCACCCGCGACACAGAGTTTCCCTAGTGCAAAGCTGTGTTGAGCGTGTATGTTATATTAATATAGTCAATTCGCCTCTCCCGTCACTCCCCACTACAGCGTCAGCACAAAATACTCCATTCCACATCCTACTCAGTGAGCACAAGCATCATACACCAGTAATAAAAAGGATTCCACGAGGTGCTAGGATCTCAGTCGCTGATGCTCTTTCCCTCGCCCTGCAAAATTGCGTCAGACATAACGACCCTGACTGTTGGCAACATCTCCTGTCCTTTGCCTACAAGATGGTCAATATCTCGGCTGACGGCGGTTCCACACTGACACCAAAAATTAAAAATAACTGCTCTTGTCCCCCGCTCCATTCTTCCGTTTCTTCTCACAGTTCCCCTGATATTAGCTTATCCAGAAGGATTGAAAACAAAATTAACGACGGCGATCTCAAAGGTGCAGCACGGCTTCTCTTCTCCCACGACGTCATCTCACCTGACAACCCGGACACTGTTTGGATCCACCCTGCCCTCCAAATTCATACCTTCAATTCAACGAAAAGGACGTCTTATCGGGCAGTTTGTCCTTTACGCCCGGTTACGCTGCAAGTCTCGACGGGTTATCACCTCAATACCTGAAAGACCTGACTTCGCCATCGCTCGGCGATGTGCACGCGGAGATAGTCCCCATCCTTTACGGTGCACATTTAATAGCCCTAACTAAAAAGGATGGTGGCGTTAAGCCGATTGCCATAGGCAGCACAATGACACGCATCGCGTCAAAATTATGCCTTCGGCAAATCTCTCGCAACCTCAGTATCAGAATTATGCTCGTTCAGCTCGGTTTCGGCATTAAGGGCGGTTCCGCAGCAGCTGTTCATGCTCTTCGTACCTACCTTCACAAAAACTCGGGGATAAGGTGCTGCTCAAGATCGACGTCAAAAACGCTTTTAATTCGGTCAATAAGGATTATAGGGCCAATGAACTATCATCTGCTGTGGGCTGTCAGCAAGGCGATTCTATGGGTTCTGCCATCTTCTGTCACGCCAACCATCCCATCATCCAAAATGTACATTCAAATCGTAACGACTGGTACCTAGATGATGGAACCCTAGGAGGCCCTGCAAACATCGTACTTTTGGACCTTAACCAAATCATCAACAGTTTTAACACCATTGGCCTCCCATTAAATTTTGATAAATGCGAACTACACATCCCTCGCTCTTATCTCAACAGGGATACAGGGGCCTCCTAGGTGCACCTATATTCTATGACTCAATTCCAGCCTTTTTCCAAAATTCAATCTCAAAGTTCAACTCATGTACAAATAGGCTCCTGAGCCTAGGCGCCCAATACGCCATCTGTATTTTAAAATATTGCCTTTTCGTTCCTAAATTTACATACGTACTTCGCTGCTGTCCGACTTGGAAATTCCATAATCAGTTGATGTCAATAGATTCTGACCTAAAAGCTCTTCTTCAATCCATTCTCAACGTCCATCTCACCCACAATGCCTGAACCCAAGCTACCCTCCCCATCAGACATGGTGGTCTAGGCATCAGGAATATATCAGCCATAGTCCTTCCAGCCTTTTTGTCCTCAATCTACAGCACGGTTAACCTCGTAGGCAGTATTCTAAGGTTTTCGTCATCAAACTGCGAGATGACGTGGTTAATTGAGTACAGAAACGCCTGGAGCCAGATTTGCCCCAACGGAAATTCTCCGTCCGACCCCAAAGTTCAAAGGAGCTGGGAAAATATTCTGTGTAAAAAGACTTTAAATGACTTAATGAATCATTGTACCCCAGTAGACCGACCGCATCTGGAAGCAGCGTCCAGGTGGGTATGTGGCCACTGGCTATACGCTTTCCCCTCTGCCAGTACCGATACCTTCATGAGCGCCGAAACCATTCGCATAGCTGCAGGCCTCCGCCTTGGTGTCCCAGTTTGCTCCCCTCATCGGTATCCTTGCGGCAAAGACGTAAGTGCTCTGGGTCACCCCGGTCTTTCCTGCCAGCTGAGCGCCGGCCGTGTCTCCTGGTATGCAGCCCTTAACGACATCATCCGCCGGGCCTTAGCCACTGTTAGCAACGTGCCCGCTATACTCGAGCCAAGCGGCATGTCGCGAACAGATGGCGAAAGCCCGGACGGAATGACTCTCATCCCTTGGAGTATGAGCCGGGCACTGGTGTGGTATGCCACTTGTACCGACACACTTGCCCCATCCCATCTCCAGCACACCAGCAAGAGGGCTGGCTCCGCAGCTGAGCTGGCAGAAAGAATAAAAAGTAATAAGTACCAGGATCTCGACTACGACTACCTATTTACTTTTGGAGTCGAAACCCTTGGTCCGTGGGGTCCCAGTGCCCTTCATCTGTAAAAACTTTCATCGAAAAAATCAATAGACTCTGTGGGAAACCCAAGGGCCGGCAGTTACCTTGCCCTCACTCAACTCATTTGCATAGCAATACAAAGGGCCTTGCCGCGGGGATCCAATTTTATTAATATAATTTAAAAATCTTAGTTTTACTTTCTAGTATTTAAGCTTTAATTGTCTTTTTTACCTTACCTGTATATTATCTTAATTAAATAAGAAACATTAGGAAAAAATCTTATTTAATAGTCGAGTCTTTTGATATTCAATCCTGATCCTATTGTTTCGAGCTTAAGGTGCGCCGACGTAGATTAAACCCTGGTAATGAGACATATTATATTATATATAATAAAGAATAATATTGGTTCGGATGTAGTACCTGCACCTGCTTTGAGACGTTTGGAGGAAATATTAAACTCTTTATATATCCGCTCACGCGATACATGCAACCGTAGACGCATACCACCTAGAGGTGCCGGTGATGATTTTATACCGATTTATCGGATATCGAAGTTATAACAGATAATAGAACTAATATTAATTGCTATTTCGGTAAAGACTCTAGCAAACCACAAAGTTTTTAATGCATGGGTCTGTCATTTAAAATAAATAAATAACTTCAAAAATACGTCACGACAATAGTGTGTGTTATTGTTTGGGTTGGTGATTTCGGTGTTTATTTATTGAAAACATACCGTAAGTAGCATTTTTTAAGTTTACCCTGAATATAAATGTTTTTAACTATACTTTAAGGAGTAATTTCATTTTTAAGTGCAGGATTTGCGGTGTATTACTGCATTTTATTTGAAATGGTTTTGTTGGTAGTACGGAGGGTATTTATTTAGCAATGCAGAATAATAATTTTTATTTATAAACACTTGTATTTAAACTGAATGCTTTTCTAATTTGCGAAACCAAATAGCCGCCATTTTGAGGTAGGAGGAGCGCATCGCGTGAGCGACCACAGGAAATATTAAGACTTTTACCGCACACAGGAAACGTAACTTTTTTTTTTTGTTATTTTATATAGTACTATTTGTACCTGTCAGTAGGGTGTGACTTGCGTGAGATACTGCTATTCTCGCACGGAAATCCCGCTCTTTAGGTCGCTCTCGGACTAGTCGCGCTCTGTCGTGCTAGCCCTACAGATCGAAGGAGCTTTTCTGTTTTCGATATTTTTAATAATATTTTTTATAACATCAAGTGACGGGACGAACAAATCTTGTGCACGTTGGTAACCTAGACACCTGTCCATAACAGTTACAGTGCCACTCAGAGTTTTAAATTGCAAAGATCTGAGGGGACTACCATACTGCGAAATAGAGTTCACTTCCCGCACATACATGTCATCGTAGCGCGAACAATAAGGTACTTGAAGAAATTATTTCATTCCGCAGCCGCCATCGCCAGAAGCATTGTAAGAAAAAGCGAAATTTAAGATTCAGTGACGTGTGCGCGGCTCATAATTTTAAGTTATATTTTTAACCGACTTCAAAAAAGGTGGGTTATTTTTTATATGTATGTTACGCGATAACTCAAATTTCTGAACCGATTTTAATGATTCTTTTTTTGTTGGAAAGAAAGTACCGCAGTAGCGGTCCCATTTAGATTTGAAGAAAATATTCTACCTCTAAGGTGGCAAACTAGGGGATGAATCGGGTTTCGCGCACTTTCCGGTAACCAATGTCAATAAAACTTGGCAAATGGATGTAATTCCACGCACTTTTGATGTCGGATTTTTAGTACTCTGTACTGATTTATGATACTAAGAGACAAAACGAACAAGTCGTGCGCCTGGTGGTAAGCGACACGCCTGTCCATAGCAGTTGCAGTGCCATTCAGAGCTTTAAACCACAAAGATCTGATGAGCACTGCCACTGTCCCCGTCACCCAGAGACATAAGTTAACAAGTCCCATGTGCCTGTAATTCCATCAGCTCCCTTATCCTTACACTCCATTCGTTTGGAAAAAAATTTCGTCACTACCATTTTACTTCCTATGAACCGAATTTCATTCACAAAGTTTTTCTGCATACTGACGATGATGATCGATAACTGTAAGGTACATCTATAACTTGGACTTGTTTGTGTAAGGAGGAGTGGAATTACAAATGTTATTTTATAAAAGCGCAACATTTTGTAAAAGCCTTGTTACCGTGGATATTACCGAAGAGAAATATAGTGTTTGAAGTTTTGACCTAATTACTAACTACCAAATACCAAGACGCTCACGTCTTGCTTTGGTATCTTGTTTACGAATAATAGTCGGTTTAGTTTGACATTAATTAGATATGAAAATTACACTAAAAGATAATGATTATTTGCTCACTTTTTAAATAATTTATTGTAGTAACAAAAATGAAGTTTGCCCAAGACAATTGTTACTCTTACCCTTAACCAATCTGATTTGTACAATAGTCGATGATGAAATAAGGTTACCTAGCAGAT